GAGAAGACGTGACAAACGATAATGGAGAAAGACTAATTGACCTGTGCGAACTGAACAATCTGAAAATTACTAACAGCTTTTTCAGACATAAGGATATGCATAAATACACGTATGTACAAACAACACGAAACATCAGATCCATTATCGATTACATAATTGTCAGCAAGTGGTACTATCAAAATTAGAGATACCCGAGTAAAGAGAGGAGCCGAATGTGGCACTGACCACCGATTAATAATTTTACAAATGGGGTTTCCCTACACGTTGAACACCCAAACTAGAAGGAAGAAAGAACACGAAGAAGACCAAGTAGAAAATGAACAGAAAGAAGAAGAAATGAAGTTCAACATAAATTTACTTCAAGAGGAATCCATAAGGGACCTATACCAGAGAAGACTGGACCAGAAGTTACAGGATTTCGGTTTCAGAAACGTCAAAGAAACGTACGAGCACGTCAAACACAGCATAAAAAAGGCGGCATTAGAAGCTTTGGGGAAACTTGAGAAAAGAGATACCCAACACAAAGTAAAAATAAACAAAGAAACCAAAAAATGTATTGAGGAGAAGAAAATTCTATATATGAAAAGTATGAGCACCCAATCCCCAGAAGACATACAGAAGTACAAAGAGAAAAACAGAGAAGTAAAACGAAGAAGGACAAAAGAAAAGAATGAAGAATGGGAAGAAACATGCGCACAAATTGAACAATACATAGGAGGAACAAGGAGTTCAGAATCCTGGAAAATACTGAAATCTTAAGGAAAAATAACAACAAAAAGGTCCAAATAAAATACATATCAGAAAAAAAGTGGGAAGACTACTATAAAGAACTAATCATAGAAAACCGCCCACATTTCATAGAGACAGACACAGAACATGAACAACAACAAAGTCAGAATGAAGAACAGATTGAGATAACATTAATCGAAGTAAAGAATGCCATAAAGACTTTAATGTCGTTATCGTTAATGAACTAATTAAGTACGGAACGGACAAACTGCACAGAATTATACACGAAATGTTCAGTAACGCTATAAACCTGAACCAAATACCAGATGAATGGCCCAGAGCATATATAACCTCGATACATAAAAAGGGAGATAAGAAATGCGAAAACTACAGAGGCATCAGTGTAATAGCATGTATGGGCAGGTTATATGGAAAAATACTGAAAGAAAAACTGGAAAAATCTATCTCAAATAAAATCGGAGAAGGTCAGGCGGGGTTCACGGTACGAAGATCTTGCATATACCACATATATACACTACAACAATTATTTGAAAAAAAAAATGGCAGAAAATAGACCAGTACACTTTATTATATATATTATAATTACTACCAGTAAGAGTTAAACCGGCAATAAATACTTCAACGAATTTAAGACCACAAAGGCTTATTGCAGGGCTCTACATCTCTGACACTGTTCAAGATATTCTTCGAACAAATATTAAAACCATAGAAAAGAAAATGTGAAGGGATGGGAATACCAATCCGGGACAACTTCTTGTACACATTAAGCTTTGCAGATGTCCAAGTGGTAACGGCTCAAGATGAAGAAGATCTGTGCTATATGCTCTGAAAATTAGAAAAGGAATACACAAAAAATTGACTGGAAATAAACCTAGAAAAAACCGAATATTTAACAACAGAGCAAGAACCAGTAAGAAACTTGGAAATGGACGATGACAAGAAAATAAACGGCACTGAAAAATTTAAATATTTATAATTCATACTCTTAAAAAATGAAACCACCGAGCAAAAGATAACCAGCAGATTAGCATAAACAAGAACATGTATTAAACAAATGAACGGGATACTGGGGGATATACAGATTACCAGAAATACAAAGAGGAGAATTTATAACACCTTGGTACGCAGAAACGGGTCAAAAATCACAGCAACTGAAATGGAGTTCATGAGAAGAAGCTGCAGAGTCACAAAAATAGATCATAAATAAGGGGATTAAACAAATAATGGCAGTAGAACAAGACATACTCAGCTACATCGAAGAAAAACGTTTAATTTGGTATGGACATGTGAGAAAAACAGATCATACAAGGTGGATAGCAAAGATTTCGGATTGGAGCCCAATAGAAGGAGGAAAAGAGGTAGACCCCGAAGATCATGGAGGGATGAAGTGGACGAGGCCATGGAAAGACGAGACCTTAGAGATGGAGAATGGCAGAACAGAAAGGACTGGAGACGTTGGCTGAAAGAAGGAAGGCGGCGACAGCTGTAAAAATCCTTATATAGATAGAGAGATAGAGTTTATGAAAGAAGTAAAAACTATTAAACTTAAATTCTCTTCTCTTTAGACCAGGACTAGGTCACCTATTTCGAAGTGTTGTGGCGTCGTTTTTGACTTATCTTTTCTGTCGTTCCTTTTTGTGCTTTAATAAAAGGGTTTTAGCTCTCTCGTGTGCGAATTGAAGTTTATAGCGTAACTCATTGTCGTAGACATCTTTGTTGTATCATGGTTGAACGTCTCGTGTAAGGTCTTCGGGTAAGTTTACTTTCCTGTCATATAGCAATGCGAACGGTGTATATCCATGATAAGCGTTAGGGATTGTGTTGTAGCAGCATGTGAACATTCTGTAACACACGTCTCAATTTTCCCCTCATCTATGAATGATCTCACGTACGATTGTGGGTGGTACGCCATTGAGAAGCTGTTCTCTATCTTTAGCATTTTTGTTAGTTCCTGCATTACTTCATTTTTGTACTATGTGGCTTGGTCTGTTCTAATTTGTTTCATGAGTCCTCATGTTGCTATAAAATGATCGAAAATTCCGCGAGCTATTGTCTGGGCTTCTTTGTTGCACACTGGTATACTCACTGCGTATTTCATTAGCTCACACAGCATTGTGATACAGTATCTATTGCCTTCAATCATTTCTAGGGAATGGATCTATCGTGTCTATGTACACTATGACCCCATGGTTTTGAAGAAGTGTCCGATATCACCAATTCCTCGACAAGTAGTCTTTGTGGTTTATTAATTTGACATTTATGATATTGTTTAATGTATCTTCTTACGTCTCTTTCCATGTTTCTCCATTTGAATCTTGCCTTCAGTTTCTTTATTCGCCTATTATTCCCTACATTACCCCCAAATATCGGATGGTTGTTATAAAAAGGATTTTAAATTTTTAAACTGAATTGGGTTACTTAGATCTAATGCTTAATTAAATTCCGTTACACAAATACCAATTTGTCGGGAAATTATCGAATAACTATATACCTACGTATAACAATATGATTAAATAAACAATAACAATGTCAAACATAATATTTTACTTATAACTTAAAAACTTATATCACAATTACATTTATAGAACGTTTTCGGAATGTTAATTCCATCATCAGTGTAACGAAGTATACATGCTATGAGCCACTAAAATATATGGGTAAAAACCCGTTAAATGTTGTTAATTTATAGTTGTGTTACATTATATATTATTACAAATTAGGATGTTCAAGTTACCGTTGGAATTGGTAACATGGCGACGTAGGACTCTACATAGTATGGTCCTGAAACAAAGGGTCTTCGAGGACCTGTTAATAACAACTCAACAGAAGTCAAGTTCAATAATCTGCGGTATATAGATAATACAATAGTGTTTTCCAATACCATAGAAGGGCTGCAAAACTTAATGAACAAAATAACGGAAACAAGTAGAACATATGGACTGGATATAAACACCAGCAAAACCAAGCTAATGATTATCAGCAAGGAAATCATAACTGGAGCAAATCTGTACGTAAATCAAATGAGAATTGAACGTGTCTCACACTACAATTACTTGGGACCTATAATCAATGAGTCACGGGACAATACCCAAGAGATTAAATGTCGCATCGGAAAGTCAAAAAGTGCATTTTTGACTATGAGCTCTGTCTTTAAGAGACATGACTCACCCTAGAAATAAAAATAAGGCTCCTTGAATGTTACGTATACTCAGTGCTTCTGTACGGAGTAGAAACGTGGACATTAAAGGCGGAAAATCTATTAAAACTTCAGGTTTTTGAGCTATGGTTATACAGAAGTATCCTAAAGATAACATGGACAGACAAAGTCCAATGAAGTAATACTGCGGAGGATGAACACAACTGCGGATTTGGTCAACATCGTGAAGGGCAGTAAGCTGCAGTACTTGGGACATATAATGAGAAATCAAGTCAGATACGAGCTACTACAATGCATTTAGGAAGGTAAAATTGAAGGAAAAAGGGCCCCAGGATGAAGAAGAATATCCTGGCTTGCTAACATGAGAGCATGGTATAGAAAGACCTCAACACAGCTATTTCGTTTAGCAACCAACAAAGTCATCATAGCCAGAATGATCGCCAACGTTCGGAACGGACAGGCACCCTAAGAAGAAGAATTTATTTATTATAATTATACTTCAAATAAACAAATGAATAAATAACAATAAACAGCGACTTAAGATCGAATTAAGCGAATTAAATTTCATCTTTTGTACACAATTTAAACACCTGAACACAAAGTTCAGGTACATTTAAACAAATTTTAATAACAATAAAAAAATATTCATAAACAGCGATTTTGTTGTTCATTTTGCAATACCTTTTTTGTTTAACATCCTTCTTTAATTTAGCATATCTCATTTTATGTATCTTTTTTTCTAAAAAAGTTGTCTGTTAACGGCAAATCTATAAATAGACAAGTATTTAAGTTAAGAACAAAATATTGAGTTTATCGTTTTGATTATTTATTTAAAAATGGTTTCACTAAAAAATTGATGAATCTCTATATCAGAGTGTTTTTGTAATATGTCATACTACAGATTTCAACTATCAAATTCTCTATACAGTGGTGTTGAGTAAAAATATAACCGAATTGGCGTAAAAATAATATTTGCACAAGTCGAATATGATATAATGGAGAAACCACAGAATTAAAATTGATTATATCAAGTTCTAAATAACCATTTATCAAATAACTGATAATAATTTTAGCAAGAAAGAAAGATACCTACCTGTCTGTGACAATACGAAAGTCACAAAGACGCTTAAAACAATGCAGAAAACCAGAAACTTCATTTTATAAATTACTTTTGCGTAACTCAGAGCAATAGTGAAAAAAATGTAGTTGCAGTATTTATATAAAAGGATTTTAGAAATAATTATATACAGTACTTTCCACTTAACGCTTTAAATATTTATCTATTTAATTAATTCGGCTTAAGCAATATTCATATGTATTCTTGTTGTTGGATTTTTAATGTTTATTTTTTGTTATTAACGATGTTTGTTGTATGCCTTATCGGGAAATGTAATGTATTATCATTAAAAATAATACGAGAAAGGTGAATACCTAAATCAATTTGTCATATTGACAGGGCAAAGAGAACCATATTAGTATGTAAAACTTATATTGGATATTAACATCCACAGAGTCATTGAAAGGTTCTTATATTGACTTAGAAAGCAAGGTACACACTTAGAAAATGTAATATGTAAGATGCATATTTTGCATATGTAATGAAAATATTTGGGACCTTGCATATTCATACGAAGGATTCCATAGAATTCATGAAATTTCAATTTATTTTTAACTACGCATTTTATAAACAGTGAACGACTTAATTATGGAATACGATTATTATTTCGAAAATGGTTGAATTTTTAGGAAAATCCCCAAACAGGTCAATTTCTGTTGTAAAATATTGATGTTATAATTTACATAGAATCGCTCAATCTGCTCATTTCTGACTGCACCAACATGTACCTGAAGGAAATCAGCAAGGTGGCTATGTAAAAAATGCAGTTTGATGCTCGTGTTGCAACCTAGAGCCGTTTAAAGATCTTTAAGAGTTAATGGACAATTTCAGCGTAATTCTGTGTTCGTGTATCTCTAGTAAAGTCTTTAACAATATTTTTAAAAGCCAACCTAGCATTATTTTCAATTTCTTACATTATTCTGCTGAAATATTTATCTTAAAGTCTTCTTCAATTAGCAAACTTTACCGAATTGTTTCATGAGACCCAATTATATAGGACATGTACGAATTCATCACTTTACAGCCCCCCATAAAATTTTTAGACCCTCCGAGACGTGGCAAATCTATCATCGGCACCCTTTGGAGAACCTTTAACTCATCATCACAGATACAGTTCAGTCCATGGTTCTTTACCCCTGCGTAATCATGTAAATCATACAAAATAAGTCGGAAATTTACTCCACGCAACAGCAAGTGACAGAAAGTCACGGAGCAGTAGCTTATCCCTTAACCACGGAGACGTTATCTAATAAATAGAATGTAAAATGTTAGTTCTGCTTTAAAAATGTTGGTGCAGAGTTACAGCTACATTTGAAGTAGCCTAATAAATTCTTCTAATATCGTTCGCTATGGTTTGAGAGAAAAAACACGTTCCCTAAATGGGCACGTTGGCATATCTATAGGTAATAACTATATAACAAAGTAACATATATATATATATATATATATATATATATATATATATATATATATATATATATATATATATATATATATATATCGGTTTTAAAACGTTCTCCTACGTCTTCCGATGCCTAGTCGCCATTCACTTCGGGCCATCCAAAGGTCTTCATCTAATTCTCTTTCTCTCATACTTCGATTTATGCCTTCTCTCCAACTAAGGCGGGGTCTTCCTCTTTTTCGTCTACCATGAGGGGTCCACGTTAGGATTTGTTTCGGGAGTCGTTCTTCGGACATTCTTTGTACGTGTCCATACCATCTAAGCTGTTTGGTACTAATGTCATCTACTATTGTGTGTTTCACATTCATTATTTCCCTAATTCTGTTGTTGGTTACCCTTTCTAATCTTGATTTTCCTGCTGAGCGCCTCCAGAAATCCATTTCTGTTGCTTCAAGTTTTCTCTTGTATCTTTCTTTTATTTGCCATACTTCACTGCTGTAAGTGATTATACTCTTAACAATTGTATTGTATATTCTATGTTTGTTGTTGTTTGATATTGCCTGGTCCCACAGTATGCTATTGAGAAGGGTAATTGCTTTTCTTCCCTGGTTGTTTCTTTCTTCTATCGTCCGGTCTACGTTTCCTTCTTGTGTGATGGTCATACCCAGGTATTTATATGCGTCGCAATGTTTAATAATTTCGCCATTCCCCAGTGTAAGGTCCTGCTGTGTCCCACCGATACACATATATTCGGTCTTTTTTATGTTTATTTCCAAACCACCTTTTTTGTACTCCTCTATTAATTTCCTTGTCATATATTCTATATCATCGTAGTCTTGCGCTAGTACAAGTTGGTCGTCTGCAAATGACAAAGTGTATATTGTATTGTTGTTGATCGGTAATCCCATGTTTTTGCATTTGCGTTTCCAAAGTTTTAGAGTTTGCTCGAGGTAGATCTTAAATAATGTCGGTGAAAGGCAGCACCCTTGTTTTAGGCCTTTGCTAATTTGGAATCCTCTCGATAGCCCGCTTCCAACTTTCACCCTTGCTGCAGTTTTGGTATACAATTGTTTCGTCGCTGTTATTAAATTTGCGCTTATATTGGTTTTCTCTAATGCTTCCCATAGTTTGTTTTGTGGGATGCTATCATACGCTTTTCTTAAGTCCACATATAACAGATGCACCTCCTGGTTGACGGCCAGTTTCTTCTCAATAATCTGTGTAATACAAAACAGATGGTCTACCGTTGATCTCCCTGCCCGGAATCCTGCCTAAGGCAGGAGTTCGGCACAAAGCACAAGGTTCAGCACAAAGTAACATAATTGCACTAAAAACATGTTGAATTTTTTACATAACAAAATTTGAAAAATTTAATTAAAGCTAAACCTAATATTGCAAATAAACATGTTAGCAAGCTGTAATATTTATCAAAACAAAAATTTGTATGTAAACGCTTATCACATTTCGTACATTCTACACGATTGTTTATTTAACAGACAGTACACCTTTCTTATTATATACTTCTACAAATATAATTTATTTCATCAAATTGTATATCTTTATGTGCATATCTTCTGCAGTAGACCAATAATCATCATCAGAAGGAAAATTATGATATCTACTTAAACAAAAGTAACCCCAAAAAACTGGCGAAGTTCCTTCTCAGAAACAGTAAAATTGTCAATATTATTGTACTGTTTTAAACAAACCGAGCGGTTCTAATTTATGTTAATATATTCATTTATAAGTTTACAGTACGATAGTATCTTAACAACTAAACTTAGCTAATATTAGCGCTACTTATATATACAGCTTTTTATACACTAAAATATTCTGAAATAGTCCAGCTCTATTCACTCGCATTAGCGCTTCGATTCCATCCATCCCGGTCCATACATCCGGAAGGTTCTCGAGCACAGATCATCGTCGTCTCGAGATGCAACCGTTATATGAGCTACGTCGAAAAAAGCAAAGTGCTAAAGCCCTGATCCTATTAAGAATGCGGTTTTTTCCCGATCAGCTGGCTCCATGTCTAGTTGCCAATATCCACTTTTCAGATCGAGTGTGGAGAACCAACTAGAACCAGAGAGAGTATCCAAAGTAACGTCTATTCTGTGCAAAGGATAACTATCTTTTTTAGTTACCGCATCGAGCTGTCGATGGTCAATACAAAACGCTTTGAGTGTCCATGGACTCTTTGATGGTTCAATTACCCCTTGTTTGTTTATATTTTTCATGATATCTTCGGCTTCATCTCATTTCTCAAATGGAAGTCGTTTAGGTTGTTGTCTGATTGGCTGCTTATTTTGCCCTTAATCTAATTATCAATGGCAAAAATATCTTGAAATTCTATCAGCATAGACTTCACATGTTTTAGTCCGTTCTTAATCAAGATCTTGGCACGTTTTATTCACCATCTCAACAAGCTCCTTTGGATACTTAGATTTCGATGCTTTCTCATTAGTATTCATCGAAGCCACGGGAACACACTGTCTGATCAAAATTCTTCTATTTAATTTAATAACAGTTCCCTTTAAGTTCATAACTCTTACAGGAACGACATCTCGAACTCTCACCAAAGCTTTTGCCATTAGGAACTCGGCATTGTCCACATCTTCGACCATTCTTAAACTTCACTCTCGGCAGTGACCATCAAGTCTGGTAATCAGAATTTTTCACTATTACCGGGTATTGTTATGTCACAAGCAGCTACTAAGCTGATACCATTTTTGTCTTCATCAAACGGCAATTCTTCACTACTGATCTCGAGAACTCCATTTTTGATAATCAATACAGCCCCAACTTTTCTTAGTAAATCGATCCCCAATATGAACTCGTGTGTATTAATTATCTCACCAGTTGCTGTTCTAAGCTTTACTGTTTTGTTGCACCTGTATCTACCAAAAACGATCTACATTTATTATTGATACGACCCTCGATGTACAAGCTATAAATTCCACCATCTTTAATAATTTGAGACGTTTGCTTGAATCTTTCGAAAACATTCTCGAATTTATCATCATTTCTTCCAGAAGATTTTGTGATCATTTTCGAGACATTTTCAAATTTCACGTCGAATCTTCTAGAAACATTTTCGAAGTTATTCTCATTTTTTCTAGAAATTTTGTAAAAACTATTTCTCCTGTTAATTGAAACTGGAATGTCTCTAGGTCATCTCCATTTTTGTTGAGTACATTCTTTAGTCGTTTTTGAAGGATTTTCTTGGACCCGCTGCAGTCTTCACCTCGTTCTTCTAGTAGCTCACGGAACTGCTTTATTGAAAGTTCTGCAAGCCGCATCTTTGTTCAGGCTCACGTACTTTTTAAATGTTATTTATTTACAAAGATCACTACCAAACTGGTAGTATGTTCCCGATGAACAATACTTTTCAAAAGTTCAAAAACCTTTTTAAAAAGTCGCTGCTTATGCTCAGACTTGCACTAATTACATAAATTTTGTAGCTATAAATTTCAATATAAAGTTTAGATTTTCATTCAAAATTTGTGCAAATTTTACTTCTTAATGTTTAAAAAGAATGGAGATATGATTTTTTAAAAAATAGTCGCTAACTTCGTTCCTATATAATATTATATATATATATATATATATATATATATATATATATATATATATATATATATATATATATATATAGCATATATATATATATATATATATATATATATATATATATATTTTTTTTA